TTTTAAATTTCAAATTTTAAATTTTTAAATTTCAAATTTAAATTTTTAATTTAAAAATTTAAATTTAAAAATTTTAAATTTACATTTTTAAATTTTAAATTTAAATTTTGAAATTTCAAATTTAAATTTTTAAATTTTAAATTTAAATTTTTAATTTAAAAATTTAAATTTAAAAATTTTAAATTTAATTTTAAATTTTAATTTTAAATTATTTTAAATTTTAATTTTAAATTTTAATATCGCTTAATATCTCGATTCGCGAGGCAGATCGCCGCGTTTTTCTGCCAGATTCTTTTGAGCGAAACCGCGTCGTTAAATTTAATTTTATCAAAATCGGAGGTGACAAAGCTATTCTAAATAATTACCCAAAATTCTACTCGATGAGTAGATTAATATTTGATTAATCAGAATAGAAAAAAATCTTTATTTTTTTGTTTTTATTAGTAAATTAAATGCTCTATTTTACCTCAAGTGAAATTTTAAAACATAACCCTGAGAGTCAATTGTGGCTGCGTTCCGATATTCACTGCCAGTACTGAAAAGCTATAATATACGTAACCTGAACTATATATATTTTTCAGTACTGACAGTGAATATTGGAACGGTGCACATATCTTGAAGCAAGATAAAAATTACAAAAGTGAGGAAATTTACTAGCTTTCGACATATGAAGTTGCAGATATTCTAGTGAATTTCCTCCCTTATAATTTCCTTTATAATTTCCTCGTTTCAAAATACACTCGACTCCCTGCTTCTTTATAGTGGATTTTTTTCCTAAAAAATCTTTGTCTCTCCAGCGCTAGATGTCTCTGTGGAATCAAGCAGGATCGACACTCGTCATTCTCGTCGATCCTCGATCATTCGGTTTCGTGACGAGAGATCGCAAGAGATCGGTCTGACGCATCGCGAGGTATCTGGAGATATCTCTGAGACGATCGGAACGATTGTTTCTTCCTTCTCATCCATTCTCGGAAATTGACACGAGGAAACAATACACGAGAACGCGTAATTTCTTTCCTTGCCGAGTGCAGCGATGTCAGACACACGGCGACGTCGTAAATCCAACCAGTCGTGCGGCTCGGACGATCTCTCGGATTCGTACGAGGAATTGAACGCGACGAAGGAGACTCAGGTAAGCGGTGATTGTTCCATCGAGAGATGAATTCTGGACTTCCCAAGAGATGAAGTTTGCCGCGTCAAGGATCCCGAATGAAGAATCCACCGCGCCGCGTTTCCGCGCGAGCCGAGTCTTCTCGGTAAGCTTGACGTGTAAAAAAAAAAAAAAAAAAAAAATGAAAAGTTTAAGAATCAAGCCAGCTGAGAATAGCCGCAATGTTACGTTCGACACTGTTTATTAATTTTACCGTTCGGTCATCCGTTTAGCATCATCGAAGAGATTTGGCTTACCGAATTACGCCCAATTATCGATGATGTACAAATCGGTGACTTTACGAATATCGTTCTTTTCTAACGGAATATGCCATTATAATTTTGATATGTCATTTGATGTGTATATTTGAAATATTTTTTTCATTATTTTATTAATCGATTATTGAGAGTACCTTCTGGCTTGTAGCCAAAGATACCTTAGAAGGAAAGGGAGAAACTGTTTTCCTATTTGTTTAGTAATGATGTGTTGCATTAAGAACAAGTTCTATGCAATTTACATTATTACATTAAGATTCAAAGTAGATATAATAAATAGTGATATAATAAATAATAAATTATGATTAAAAAGCTTCTAAAATATAATAATAAAATAATTTAAAGATAATATTCAATTAGGCTTAGAAAAATTAATTTCAAATAAACTTTATATTCAAATAAAATATATATTAACATACATTAACAAGATATACATTATTGGACATTAAAACTAATGAATAAATGTTACAATCTATAACTATAAATATTACAATAAAATCTTTTGTTTTCAGAAAATTAATTTTATTTGTGAAAAAATTGTTGCACAAGAACAACTAAACATTTGGTAACAATAATATTTTTGATAAATCCTTTTAGATTGTGAAAAACATGACAGAAAAAAAAGAAAAGAAATAAGATACAAAGGAGAAAGAGAGAAAAATCTATTATCTTTATCTCTTTGTCTTTTTCTTTATCTAGTTAATCTTGTTTAATAAGCAGCATATTTTTTTCTTTAATGTGTCCTTTGAATAAAGATATTGAGTAAAAAATTATAGATAACTAATCAGTAGAATCAATTAAAGGATGAAAGGAGATTTTTATTAATAGAAAAAAGGAAACACACATACACACACACACATACATACATACACATACGCGCGTGTGTATATGTGTATGTGTGTATTGTAATTAATATATGTATCAAATGCAATTGATAACAATTCAATTGATTGAATTCTATTAATATATATTTAAAGTAACTTGAAGTTAATTTGAATATCATCTTTATTGTAATCTTGTTTTTACAGAGTAGCGAACAAACTGATGGACATCAAGATTCAGAATGTGACATTTATGAAAGTGATTCAGATGTTGAATCACAGGAAGGTGGAGAGCAACGTGAGAGTGGAGATGGGCAAGAGGAAGAGAAACCACAGAAAAAGTTAGATGATGATGAAGATAGACGAAATCCACAGTATATACCAAAACGTGGAACATTTTATGAACATGATGATCGTACAACTGATGAAGTAACTGATAATAACACGGAACAGCAAACAAATGTAAAAGAGACCAAGGAGAAGAAGGTATGGAAGGATAAGGAAGATAAATGGGACCATGATCGATACAATGACGAAGAACAAGCTCCAAAGAGACCTGAGGAATTGATAGCGACTTATGGTTATGATATTAGAAACGAAGAAGGACCACCTAGAGCTAGAAGGAGAAGAAGATATGGGTGAGTTTTTCTCGGAATTTCATATTCTTTAAATCTTGATTCTCTTTTATATATACATATGCACATACATGTAAAATTACATACATGTACACACATACGCGTGCGTAGAGAGAGAGAGAGAGAGAGAGAGAGAGATTAAGAAAAAGTAACAAAATCGAGCGGACTTGATCTCTTGAACTCAGAATCCTTTGTTTATTAACTGCGATATTTGGTTTGCACGATGACTTTCTTTGATAACTATTCTCGAATTCTATCAATTTTTTCAATTAGCCTATGATTTTTTTCATTAGTCTATATTTCTCACAATATTATATATTTTTTCAGTCGTGGACCTAATAAATACACAAGAAATTGGGAAGACGAAGATGCTTATGGAAAGACTACACTTGGTAGAGGAAACAACAGACGCTTTCATAAAAATAACGAAGATTTTCCTGCTCTTGGTAATAATAAGGTAATGTTATAAAATTTACAATATTGTATTATAATATTGTATTATAAAAATTTACAATATTGTATTATAATTAATTATTAAGAGTCATCAAATATTTCTTTTTTTTCTTTTTTGTATTGATATAGAACACTTCGAATAAAGCAGAAGAACCTGTAATTTCATCAGCATGGTACAGTAGCAAAAACAAAACACAAAATAAAACGCAAAATTTCCCGCCGCTTCAGTCTCAACAGGATAATACAAAAACTAAGCCTGCAGTTGTTTCCAATACAACCACGTAAGTGTAATTTTTTTATATTATTTAAAAACATTGACAAAATTATGAATGAAAATGTTATTACAGAAATGAAAATAAAGCATCAGATGAATCTACTAATACATCTTGGAAAAAAGATGGCAGACACGCTATTCAAAATCAAAATACTAATGGAAATACTAGTTCTGGCAATGACGCGGAAAAATTAACTAATATTAAGCCATCACCGAGAGAGAATAGCAAGAGGAATATCCAAGAGTCTGTGAGCTTGGCCGCGAGTAGGTCGCGTGGAAGAGGTTTCAAATCCAATGCTAATAACAACATAGTCACTAACAGAATAGTTGAGAATAAATCAAAAGGACGCGGTCCGGGTCCAATTATAGTAGATAATAGAAGAAATAATACTGTGCAACATAATGAAGAGCATCAACTTTCTCATGATATGAAACAACTCAATATGAATGATGGTACTCAATATCATCAGCCTGGAAGACATAATAGTAAGGTTTCCTTAAATATAATGGTACAAAGAAAATAAAAAAAATTCATATAACCAAATTTTTGACAATAAGATATAAAGATCAAGAAATTTGTAACAATTCTAGAAATTGTCAATTTATAATTAAGCAATTAATTAAATGTAATATTTCTAATCTTTTTTAATTATTTATGAAAATATTCTTTTTAACGTTTATAGTTAATATTCAATTCAAAATATTTATTTGATAATTAAATGAAAATAATTTTGATATTCTGAAAGACTTCTATTAAAAACTTCTATTTATTCATGTAGTAAAAAAAACAATTGTTTTCCTTTTTTAGACAATTTTATTAATGCTTGTAGCTTAAGTTTTTGCTAAATAATTGCAGTGTCTAATTTTAAAATTTATTTTTCTCGAATTTGTATAGAAGGCTTTTTTACATCTTCCAATCAACATAGATCAAATACAGTACCACCTAGAATGCAGCAACAACAGCAACCACAGCAACAACAATCACATCAGCAACAAACAATGCAGCAACAACAGCAACAACAAGATAGTTCTGGAAACAGACCTAAAAGATACTCCAGTCTTCGTCAACGTCCTACGATTTCAGAAACTTCCGCGCAACAGAATTATCCATCTCAACATGCCCAACACGGATATTTTCCACCTCAAGGTAATAACGCACATTGACAGTTTATTATTGATTTACTTTATTACATGTTATTAATCCATTTCTTATGATGTTATGATGTATTATGTTTTATGGCCTAATATAAGCATGTACTTAATATTAATGCTTGTGTATATGCATACCTAGCTGGAAACTCAAGAGCTGTTCTGGAATCTCAAGGTAAAAAAGAAAATACTTACAAATATAGATTATTTATGTGTATTTTAGGGTATTTCTAGTAAACTTTTTACAATGATATATTTTTCATGTGTAAAAATTATAAAAAAATAATTATGCAAAAAGATTGTAGAAGTAAACTAGAAAGTAAATATAGAAATTATCAATCCATATATACAAGATTTACAATGGTGATAATAGAATGCAGAATTCTGTTTATGTATAGATTTAATTTTTCAATTAATTAAAAATATATTAATTTTAAATAATTTAACAAAATATAACTAACTGATTCATTATATGTTAATGTTTTAGGTTATCCCCAAGGTCATTTCGAGCAATCTTCTCCAGTCGCTCCAGCCACAGCACCCATGGCAGGACAACCTGTTATTTCTTTACCACCTGGTGGACAACCTGCTAGCTATGCGCCACCGCCATTCTTAGTACCGCCACCGCAATTCATACCCCCACAAACAGCACCTCCTAGCATAATTAATTACGTTCCTGGACCAAATGGTCCGACGTTCCCACCAAACTTTCAAGGTTATCAGGGATATAATCCTTCTGTACAGGTGAGAAGAAAGAATATATTTAAATATTAAAAGGGAAAAGAAAGTTACAAGAAATAGATATAGTATCATATAAATACTTTGTATTTAATTTTTGTATACTTTAATATTGTAGCCTCAGGGTCCACCGCCGCCTCAAGAGTTGTTCCAACCGCAAGGATGTACTTACTACAGTCCCGCACAGCAACAGCAGCAACAACAGCAGGTGGTACCTCCGCGGCGACCGAAAGCGGCGATACCTATTCTTCCGCCACCTGATAATCAGCAGAGCGGTAGAGGAAGAGGAAGGAGCACTCAACAGTATCAGAATAATCAATCTATTGGTAACGCGCAACAGACTGAACAAGAAGTCAAGAGTGGTAATGCAGTGGAAAGTGATGAGAAATCCGTGCCAGGACAATTTGATAGTGCGCAAGTCGAGCAGTCGAATCAAGAGTTCCAGAAAAATCAAGCTCCAGATGTGGTCAGAACAGTGAATGACATGGACGAAAAAGTAGAGACGGTCAGCAATATCGACACTCATATAAAAATCGATGCGCCGCCCATTAAAAAGGATAATTTGGATGATAGCATCAGTGTCAAGGAATTGTTGGAAGCAACTTCTAATGAGAAGAACACGGTTTCGCACAGTTCAACGACATTGGCCAGCGTCGAGACTGAATTAGGTAACATTGAATCCGCTATTCCCGAAAATACTATTGTCGAGAAAGCTGCAGCCTAAAAAGCACGATTATTATTATGGTTATTATTATTTGCGCTTCGTATTTACACATCAGTGGTTTTCCATGCAATTTACCACAAGTCGCCGCTCTGCGTATTCATAATGCGTTTGAGAGAAACATTGTTTTGGAAAACTCTAGTTCATTCTTATAGCCGTAATATCCATAATTATATATTTATTCTGTAATGCAATTATGCATGTAGTCTTTCGCTACAATATCAGGGATACAAAATAATTATTAATCGAGCTAATTTATATTTGGGCAAGTGCAGTATTGAGTGCACTATATTTTATAACACATCCAGAAGTGGAAAATGATTATTAAAATTGAACATAAATCATTGCAGTAAAATTATCTGACGTGATATATAGCTTTCAACGTTATTGATCCATCACAAGATATTTTTACCGCTATTGGTTTAAAAAAATCTTATATAATTCATTTTATGGTAGCCAAATTATTTTTTATTGGTATTGTTGAAAATGAATTTACAAAGGACTTTATAAAGTATTTATAAGATATTTGAGAATAAGACATATATGTACATCATATATCTAAATTGAATCACATGAAAATATTCAATATAACTAAAAAGAAGAATTTACTATTTCTCGACATTTGCAATCTATAGTGAAACATTACTATCGTGACGGATCTGAAGTTTTGATTCTATTCATGATTACTTAGGAATAAAGAAGGTTTTCAAAGAATCAATACGCGAAAAATGCTATTAAGTATACATTTAAAACATGTAAAGAACGTATTAACTTATGGGAACTATAATCCGTAATTGTAATATCTAAAATAGCAGCCTCATAACGCACTGACGTTATTATTGCCTGATATATGAAGTAACGATTTTTTCATATACGAAGTCTACCTATAACTGGTCATTATTTAGCGAGGAACGTTATGGTGTATTAACGTAATATACTCGGCAACTGCGCGGGCCATGACTGTGACACGATATAACTGGTATATAATATAATTCAATATACATATACTTTTTCAATGTTATGACTACCTACACAATGCAGAAATGTTTGTAGTTATAATATTAATGAAATATATTTCATTGAGTATCCCCCGTAAGTGTGCATCTCTTTGTATATGTATAGAAGTAATTTTTTTTTTTTTATACAATTGGAATAATATTTAATTTAACAAATCTTTCTGTTCTTTCCGTCTATCTTCATTACGTATTTCTGTAGTTTTTTCTCGTCTTTTAACTTCATCTAGATACGAGAAAAACTAATTTATAATATATTAATCTCATTTTAAAGGACAGAAAACGTGAGAAAATACAAAAATGAACAGATAATAATAATGTATTTACCAATTTATTTTTTTTCTGTTATAATGTATTTTATTCTATTATATATCTTATTTATATGTTTGAAGTTGTACAAAAAAAAAAATAACTGGCCGTTTCGGCAAATTTATTGAAACACTGGCCATGAAACACTATCACAAAGATAATATATCTTTTTTTTCTTTCTTTCATAATTAAGCTATGCATCTAAGGTCTAACTGCTCTAACTCAAATATATTAGAGTGTTTAATCAATGAAATAAGATAAATATTTTTATGAATATTAAAAACAGCGAGAGTGCATCGAAACGAAATGGATCGATCCATTTTCTTTCTGACTCGCCACAATTATTACGTTTAGATGTATAACCACATCAAAGTTGTGCAAAGCCTTAAACAAAATTCTGTGAAAAAAAAAGTATGAAAACTTTCGATAAGGAATTTATACATGGTGAACGGCACACATACTTCTGCGCAATAAAATGTAAATTTAAGCGGAAATGAAACGAGCAAGAATACGTTATTCGCTGTAGCATACTGTACAGTTTATAAAATTAATACCACTAGTAATATAACTTTATATAATAACTTTAAGCTTTAAACGTTAGGATTATATACACTTTATTAAACTTTGTAGATATATTTTGATTGACATGTCAAATGTATTATAAGAAAAATAAACATTACAATGGACATGAAAGCAGAGCGCAACTGAACGCCGGATAGGTAGAGTACAACGCTTTGTATTTACACTCTTGCGTTTATTCCATTGAATTTTATCGTGCGTTTCTTTAGGTCTCCACTTTCAGTTATCGATCTGTGATGTACATTGTATTATCTACAATTATATCTACAGTATAATAAAGTAAAATGTTTAAAGCAGCCCAACGACATCGTGCGGACTCGTATACATTACAATTACCTATTCAGATATTAATTGAATACCATATGACTCAGTTCATCTCAATTCAACAAAATTTCAAGAAAATTTGTTGAAACGAGATTACACTTATTATCTATATAACAATATAGTAGGAACTCGATTATGCCTAAGGATATACCGAGCTATTGACTTGAAGAATAATAATACTATCGCTGTACGTAAAATCCGTCTCGCCAAATGTTTTTTAATTACAGTGTTTTTATTCAATTTTTAGAAAAAAAACTCTCTTCCTCCTGAAAATGACAAAGGATTACTTTTTCAGGATTATTTCCAATTGTTGACATTGTTACATAACTCTTACCCGCTTTCTCTTCTACGTCTAAGCTTAATTCGTCAAGAATGTTATTTCCGTTAGTCGTTAATTATTTTACGCGTGCCTCTGGAAAATTCTCGTTCAAGGAACGCTAGCTTTTCTTGAAGTGTCCTGATTGAAAAGGACAATTAGGGCGCGTAACGAAACGAGATTTATTCTTGCTTCACGTTCTGCGGCGCATTGATGATGGCGCTGAGAGGTATGATCTCGGTGCTTTGCTGAACGTTATTGTTGTTGGACATGGTATGAATCGATCTCGTGTAATTCCTAGATCTCTGTTTAAATGGGTCCGAGATACCCGCGACGTATCTGCGTTTCTGGACGTCAGTTCCGCCGTTGTGGGAACATCGGAAGGTACGCTTGAACTCCTTGCGAAACTTTCCTGCAACAAACGTGGTACGCGCGTCATGTAATCCTCAAGTGCTTTCAAGTTTCAGCGGATCCGAACGGATATTTACCTTTTTTACAAGATGCAAGATAAGACCGCAGGAAAAATATAAAGATTACATGAAGAGATAAATGACGTGTGTGCTTTAAAAGCAGCTATCTGTTGAACTCACAGATCACCTTTGGGACCTTCGCGTAGAAAAATATCGCTGCAGTCAATAGAAAAGCGTGAAGAAAATGAAATATGAAAAGCTTATGCGGTAGATGTTTACAAATACATTCCAAGTAACACAATGCAAATATCCGTAGTAGTCTTTTGTGCTGTTTAAAAAAAAAAAAAAATTTTAGTTATATTCACGGGGAATGGATTATTAAGTCAAATTACAAAATTTGATTGAAACGAACGGAAAGAATAACACAATATCCGAGAATTTCGAAATCAATTGCCAACTTCGAAATAAACAAACGATTTACATCTCGAATTACTTTCCATCGTGCATTTTTTAGTACTTTAGCCTATCATTCCCATGTTGAAAATCACGCATTGAAAAAAAAGATGATTATCGCGCATTGATTTGTTTCCTGCAGTTATCTATCAAACTATTTTGAATTTCGTTTTCTGCGTGGAAGCGACGGCTACCAATTAATCCAGGCAATTTGAACATCCCGGCAGTCGCGCCGTGATTGGCTCGTGCGATAATTTTACAATATCGGAAATGCGATTCTCAATGGCTACGTTTCGGCAGAGAGGGCAGCTTTGCAACTCTGTTGTAAAAATCTCCGATAATTGGATTTTGCTCTTAATTCCTCACTAGGATCTAAGTGTACAAATCAATCATATCGAAAGAATTTATTTTTTGCAATAGTTGCAAAGCTGCTTTTCTGCTGAACGCAGCCAATATCCGGTAGTCAGCTCTGACGCGAAAACGTATTCGAATCGCTCGGTGTCTTTCACGATTTTTATCGCCTGAAAATCGTGTTGGTGGTGTCGCGCGCAGGATTTGCCGCAGTGCGCGTCGTCTATATATTGCGTACGGCACGATGCAACTTCAATTTTCACAATTTCGGTATCGGCGATACTTCTGTTAAGAGTAGAGTGACCGATTTCGTATATTTTTGCCGAAATGCAGCCAACAAAACACGATGGGATACAGAAATTGTCGTCAGATACATCCGTTATTCCGTAATTAGTCGTACTGATTTTTATATTTTTAAATATAACAATTCGAATTGCAATATTTCAAATATATTTCGAACTTCGTGTACAACTGCGTAAAACTCTAAAATTGCTCTAAGATGACGTAAAATCTCAGTTCATCTCAGTCACGTCTTTTGAATTACGTTTTCTTTTTTTGACAAATTTTTTTATGAATATTCGATTTCGTACGTTTCACGCTAAGCTGGAGGCAGAATAAACGAATGTAAACAAACAAGACCGAAAGTGAGTTGCCTCACGAATTGATGAATGTCAATTGAGTCGCTGAAAGCTGAAGCAATTTGGTCCTTATATTCTTCTTTTTCTACACTGAATATCTGTCTGGTAAGAGTACAAAATTTATGATATTTCTTTGTATTCGCACCCATTTTGCTTGATCTAGAATTAAGCTTTAATTATATTCGTGTATACACTATGTACAATAATAATAAAATAAAAATATCGAAATACAGAAAAATATTTTTATATCTACTGTTTGATTAAAAACATAGATATTTAAATTCTAAAGAAATAAAAATATAAATAGTGATTTTTAGCATTTTTACAAAAGAAAATATTTGTAATTAACATTTTTTTCTAATTGATAAAAACTTTTGGTAAAAAAAATATATATATCTTGAAATAATTGACAATATTAGTAATTTGTAGGAAGATATTTTGAATTGTTATAGAATAACTTGAAATTGGATATAAATTTTGAAATTGCATACAAATCAATTGTTATACATCAATTATTTATTACAAAAATAAAAAAAGTATATAAGAATATAAGAATAAGAATACATATGTATATATATATATATATATATATATATATATATATACATATATATACATATATATATACATATATTCTTTTATTTTTTATTTTTATTTATATACTTTTCTTTTTATTCTTATAAGTAATAGTATCTAAATCGTATTGCAATTTTTTTTCTACAAAAATTGCTATACTACAAATACTAAATTGCTATTTCTACAAAAATTGTTAACAAAAAAGTTCATATTATTATTAACTAATTTAAAGATTATATTTTTAGGAACTTTGTCTACTCTTTTTCCTTTTTTTTGGATTTCGACACTTGATATATCATTTTTTGGATGTTATCTTATTTTTCCTGATTCTTTGCATATCTACTATAGTTATGGTGAACTTTGCATATCTACTATAATTATGGTTTAAATAGAAAAAAAAAAAACAAATCTAATAATCTTTCTAATATTCGTTCTATAATCCTCATATTCGCATAATCAGTTTTTTCAAACGTTTATCAAACAATCGTTTTAATCTTATTCTTTTTAACCATTATAATTAATAAATAAATCTATGTTGCCGCGTTGAATCCGAAACGATGTATTCATTATTATCTCATTGGCGGTCTCGAATTGACAAAAGTTTCTGATCATCCTCAAATCTGATGGCTCTGATAGTCGTCGGATTAAAGTTTTTAGCTGCGGAGCTCTAACGGCGCTTCGTCCGGTGGTAAACAAGATCGGGGGTTGGGTTCGGATGACCGGGAGGGACCAACTACTGTCACACTGGTACTACGGCTCACCCTTTATAGCTCGCTTTAAGCGCAATCGGTCTAAGCGTCGCAAGCGTCGTTATCCGAGCGCCGTTCTCGTCCCGCCGTTAAACGTCGTCTCGGCCACGACGCACGCTCGCACGTCAGGTGATACGTCAAGGGATACTTTCGTCGGTTTCCACGGTACTCGTTTCGCCGCGCGCCGTCAAAACGGCCGATTTCGCAAGCTTGTGCTATGGCATCCCCTCGTATACTCGTCGCTGCACGGCGGCGGCGGCGGCGGCGGCGGCGGATGCCGACGGCCCGCCGGCAGCGTGTTCGCCCGCTGCTTGCTCGGGGTGCCGCACTCCCGAAAACTACGGCGGAACTCTCGCCGGAACTTACCTGCAAAGTAGAGCACCAAATGATTTCGGACTTGTTTTGAAACCGCGTAATTCAGACGCGGAATTCTCTCTCTAGTGAGCTTTACGTTTACCGAAAGGCTCGACGCGTATCTATCCCGCTTCGTATCCCGATCGAGTCTCGCGCTTGTTTAACTCCCGCTCCCTCTCGTTAATTCGCAAACCTTGTGGTCCACTTACTGTCTCTCTAAATATAGATTAACGTTGAATTACTTTATTCCTTTTTTTTTTTTTATTAATCATGATTAATGAAGTTTTCAGGTTTTCCTTAAAATCTCTCTGTCCTGTATTGACACACGCTTAAAAATTTTATTATACGACAAAATTTAAATAGTAACTGATATTTGTAATTGATATATTTCATGTGTTGTACAACAAAGGTTTTTGAAAGATGCATAGATTGAGATTTTGCGTCTCCAGAAATTCTCTGTCAGATATTTAATCAGCGCTTTCAAAAAGTTTGTTATACGATACGATGAATTATTAATCGTGCGAACTGCTCCGCGTATTTCTCAATGTTCGTTGAGATTATATCGTAATATTGTAATATCGCGAGATGAATCTCCGTTACCGAGCTGAATCTCAATCGCGAACTAATCATATTGTTGAACCGATCCTTGAGTCGCGAATATCCTTGCGGTTCCGAGAATGGTGTTTTTCAAAGAATACGCAACGTATTGCGTTTTATTAAACGGCGCTGAAAGTCTAGAACTAGACGAAAGCAATTTCCCGGAATATATTCAGCAGCATAATTGAAATCAAACTACATATGGCTTGCGGAAACACTTGCGATGTTCAATGATGTTTGATTCGATAGAAATTTGAACGGGTATTCAAATAACATTGGCTCATGATTCCAATAATGTAGACCCAGCTCGATCCTCAAGATCGAAATAATTCGTTTCTGCGCGATTGTCGCGATAATTATTCTCATTTCGCAAGGTTTCTTAATTTCCGCGATTTCTGATTCATTAATTAAGCTTGTCCGAGTTCGCTACCAATTTGCAGATATTTCGCGCAATTTATTTATTCGAATGTAAAACTCTAAATGACGGAGAAAATAATTATAAATTATATAATTATAAATTACAAATTATATAATTATAAATTATTATTTCCGTAAAATTCACGGATAATGCTTTGTTAGAATGAATATTTGAACATCAATTATATACATATAAATCACATTTTGTATTTATCGCGAATTTAAATTGCCTCATTAATGTGTATTTTTAGAAAGATGTGGATCTTTTTTCAAGCGACAGAGAATAATTCGACTGATGAAAAACTACTGTTTACGGATAATTAATCGAAAAAAACAAGGAATATGATATTCGATGTGATAATTCGATGTTCATATTTTTTGAAAATACTTACCAGCTGGCATGCAACGTTCCTCGGTGTTTCTTTTTTTCTTTGTCTCTATCCTAAGATCCTGTGTATATTTGTTTTTATATGAAAAATTTTTTTATCAGGATGGAACGGCTTATGCCACTGCCTATTCCGAGTTTCATCTTACAAATGATAACGACAAAGGCGACCTTAATAAAGACAAAAGAAAAAAAAGAAACACCGAGCATCACATACCAGTTACTATATATATATATATATATATATATATATATATATTATTTGAGATAAACTGTCTCGTAAATTATTCATTTTTTGGCAACTTATATCTTAATACATTTATGCACAGAATAAGAGATGATTAGTACGATTAGTATGATTATTAATTTTTAGCCCACTCGACCATAAATTAATGCGGTTATCATAACTATTGCTTCTGAGACCACGTGGTCATGGATTAATTGTACAACTAATAATCTGTCAAAACGTAGAAATTTATTCGGTTATAGTTTATCGCACGTGCGTTTAACAACATTCTCGGATGTTTTATCTCGCAAAGAATATTTGTCTCTTATTTTAATATACGTATATCCATTCGCTTTCGTTAATATGAGATAATAATTTACCTAAAAAAAACGAGAAATTACTGTTAGTTAACGTATGAGAAAAGCATGAAAGCTAGCAGCAACAGGTCGTTGTATCAAATAACTATGCGCTATTTTTCGCGAATTCTCTGCGTTTCGAAATTCGTTTATCACGTCAATTCACGAGGCATCGCGGATCTCGAGCGATTCACAATTTTTTATGTGATTTTCACGATTTTTGCGTTGCTTTTTCATCGTGATGTGTACATACACACATACATGCGCGCGCACGCGCAACGCACACGTATATTTGCATGTATGTACGCATATATAAACGCATAAAATTAAAATCTAAAAATTAAAATCGGTGTTTTTATGAATAATGTTATAGGAGTGCGATGAACTTCGACAATCTGAGAGAAAGAAGGCCAGGATAACTGTCGAACGACGGAGCAAACACGAAGGTAAATTAATACTACATATTTATAATAAACAATCTTATTTAACTATGTGCTATCACTTGCATGGAATTCATTATTTTTTGAAAATTATATTAAATATTAAATTATATAAAATTAAAAATTATGTTATATTAATCATTATGTTAAAAATGTTTCTATTTGAAAAAAGGAAAAATTTAGTGCGAAAGTTCAATATTTTGCATTTTTTGTTTATTTTTGAAAATAGAAGGACGTTTTTAAGAGATTAAGTTTATGAAATAGTTTGTGAAATATATTAAAATACTTGATATATTGCAATAATTTATATTGTATCAGAGATAAACTTGATATCATCTTGACAGTATGACGTGAAAACTCATAAAACACATATGGAACAATAATATTGATTGTGCAGATTGTATAATATTACTGCCATGTCGGATTTTGCGTTATCTCTCATTGAATATAATTCACCGTGGCATCTTAAGCTTTGGACATTACAAGAAAAGCTTATCTCAAGTATCCGGTTATAAGCTTGCTTTTTATTTTTATTTTCATATTTTTGTTATCGTTATTATGCAAGTTATTATGCATATCTGATTCTTATATGAAATCCACATCAATTGAATTGAAAATCGGGGAAATATTATATAGAATTCCCGAAATGGATTGCCATTTCTACCTCCTTTACTTGTAATCTTCTCTCCAAATCACTGTTTTGTAAAATCGAGATACATTGAAAAAAAATCGGAATTTAATTTGAGATATGTTATGACTCGGTATAAATTGATTATTCTCACTGAATTATGTATTGTTTCATTCCATGAATTAATAAAATTTAATTCTGATAATGCAAATAATAATACGAAGAATGCTGATTCTGTTCTTGACTTTAAAATTCATATTGTGACATAAAAAATTTGATTGAGCAGAAACCAATTTATTTTGACTAAACAAGATTAATCACAGTTAATATTTACGTATAATATTTATCCCCAGTTATAAATTTTAGATTTAATATTTATTTTATAAATTCAATTTCTTGAAAATATTAATCATGCAATATTTAATATTTTACAACATTTTGATATTAACGCTACATTGATACAAATATTTATATAAACAAAAAATGAACATATAGGATGTGTATTGTATTATAAAGAAAAATGAAGATTGAAATATGTGATAAAAATTCGATCTTATAAGATATTATTTTACATTTTATAAAATATTATATTATTATTTATATATAAATACTATTTCTATATCTGTCTAGTGAATTGATGATGATAAGTAATTGTCGGTAAAATACATAATAATTTTATTACGAATTAAAAATTGTCATTATAAATTTATTAGCGCGGTTTGTCATCGAGGAATTAAAAAATAATTGAATATAAATAATCAATTTTTATTATTAATACAAATAATAATTTGATCAGTGACGTTGTCTCATGTAATCAGCTAAGCAGAAAATACTTATCACGTAAAAATGAATATCGATGTGACAGATACGGGTTTTAACGAATTTATTAGTTGCATTAAAATTTTCTACTTTAATTAACTTCGTTATTAAAATACAATATGATGATAAGACATAAGACATCTTGTTGTACGATAAATGAACGAAGCATATCATGAAATTGTGAAAATCTATTGTTTTAATCAGTTTTATAAATTTTTGTGAAAATGTATACACGCATAATGGATTTAGGCGGTAGATAAAAGCTTAATGACACAGATAAAAGACCTTAACGTAAAATTAAATCGCCCCTCTTCGAAAGTAGATGTAAATTATCAAGCTTTATAATTGCTAAAAGAGTGTTATATGATTTTTTATTAGTTCTTAAAAAAAGTTAGAAATATTTGTTTGCTTATATTACTCGTGCTTTTTTGTCTGAGCAAAAAAATTCATATCAAATCAAATTATTATAATTGAAAATATAATTAAAAAAACGTTACTCTCAAATTTATATATGTATACATATATTCAATAAAATATTTGAAAAATTTGTATTCGTGTCGTGTTCGCGCGAGAACATAGTTTGCGTGAGTTTAATACAGCTCAACGAGGATTTCTCGTCAATCTTTTCACAGAACAAAAATGAAATGAATTTTTGGCAACGCGTGCCTGCGAGAATGAATTCAGTGTGAAGAGCAGACCCGTTTCGCACACGACGTATAAGCCGAAACAACGACAGGCGAGTATCGCGTATCTCGGACACGTCATGCATTTTAATAGAAATCACTTCGTACATATAGGTAATCTTGAATGCCTCTGTACCCGAGAAGAATATTATCATACATATCTATTATCTACGTATATCCGTGGAATATTTCTGGAAATAAGTCTAGCCAGATCGAGGATCACCGGAATCAATTTTTCAACATAACGTTGGAGAGACGTAACATCTCCATGTGTCGCCATGTGTGTTAAAATTATGTGTTTTTATCTTCCTTACCGCTCATAAAATTATAGATGACAGGATTCACCGCGCTGTTGAAGTAGCAAAGCCAATGGGCAATTAGGCTAATGGCGATCGTCCATTGATTCGACGGTAAAGTCATGGTACATCTAAAACAATAAATATTGATTCCCGATAAAGACGAAGTAACAATGACCGTTACATTAATATTACAATTACAAATTAATATTACAAAAAAATTAATAATAAATTTAATATTACAAATTCAATTTCCTACTCAGCGATGTAACTGTTATGTACAACTTGTGTCATAAAATATTCATATTGCCTAAAGGGGGGATTATGATATTGATATAATTATTACTCATTTGTTTATGTTTATCAAGTTGTACGCGACCACATAAATATGAGTTAATAATTATATTTTAATAATATTTAATCTCGAACATCAAAGCTGAAAACTGCTTTATCCCTTTGCAAATCGCTTGGAGCTTTGAAGACATAGACAATTTTTCGAGTTTAAATTATTCGGCAGATGGTAAATAGCTTTTCTCGTTAAAAAAAATGATTAGGAACTTATTGGATCCAATGGATGTCATGTTTCGTACAGTGATGGATGAAAACTGAGCATGTGTCGTCAGCGACCCAGGTGATTTTGATATAATTTAGATACTATTAGTTTTTATTTTGATACATAATATGAATAAAAGGTTATTTTCACTACAATAAATATCGAAATTCAGAATAAACTTGTACTCAAGATGGGACTTGTGCTCTGCTGAGGAAATTGTACGAGACGGAAAATTGCTCATTTTCTGTTTATGCTTAAATGATCATTTCTAAAATAAAATATTGACTTTTTTCAAAAAGTAATTTTTTCTATTAACTCTTCAATTATTTTCTATAAAGCAATTACTGATTTTTAAATTTAAATAAAATATATATGTTTATTGAAAAATACGACAAATCGAATTTAAATTATTAAAGAATTTATGGATAAGAAGTGACTTTACGTCGAGAAAAATTGTTTATATAAATTATTTTCGATAAAAGAATAAGAAAAATTTCAGCGAATATGAAAATAATTTACGATATATTGGAAAAAAGCATTGGCGAGACACCTGTGTTCTGGAAAATTGGAAATATTATAAATTCTCGATTTCTTGTACATATATTTCATATTCGCCTATTTTTACTATTGTCACGATTTTTACTCTCGAGATCAACTTAAACAAAAGATTTTATGTGTTATAAAATAATCTGTCAAAATTTTACAAAAATAACGAGTGTGATTATTGCTTTTTAACATTTAACTTCGTGATATAGTATTTAATCTGACACTAATATCTTTGGAAATTTAACAGAATTTAATAGAACATATTATTTATTTGAAAACTATATAGATTTTATTATTTATAATTTTACGTGTAAAAATAATCTTTATTAATAATAACGATTTTTTTAATTTATCGATATTAGGTAGCGTATAAAAATTTCGCGAGAATAGGAATTTCAAAATCCAATACTTATAATATTTTCATGTGAATGGAAATTGTATTAAATATTGTTATTACAATACGCTATATCAGAGCTCAGTAATAGCATAAAACTTACCTTAAGATAGAGAGCAAATGCACCGGAAAGAAACATATCGCAAATGTTATAACTACCGCGACTAACATCTTCGCCGCTTTTCGTCGAGATCTTAATTGACCCTCTGGATTTCCACCTCCAGATAGTGGAATCTCAGTTGAATGACAGATCCTAGTGGACACTATAAAAATGATTTTAGATTATGATATTGTAATCATAAAAAAAATTAATTATACAGAAAGTAAATAGGCGCATCCGCACTCGCATCCCTTCCTCCCCCCCCCCCCCCACCCACACACACACACATACACACACCCCAATCAAACTTGTTGAATCAACTGTCTCTTTTCTGCTATTAGATTCTTAAGATCTTTCTTTTCACAATATTTTCCTTAGAAAGACATCACGAGTTTGAAATAACAGCCTATTATTAGTTAATGAATCATATTAAATATTCTGTGATTAATTAATTATATAGAAAATACTACTAACAAATATTGATTGTATGCAGTAAAACAAATGCAATAGAAAATGTATCTGAAAATGTATTAACTTTAAAACTTGTGCTTCGTTTTAATCTGTTTTTTTTTCCCATAAAATTCGATTATAAATATGAAATATAGTACAGACTGAAATATAAAATTGAAATATAAACAGTTTGAAATATAGTACAGACGTATCAGATTACTTTTATTTAGTCGAGATAATCGAGTCAGATAATCGAGGATATTTATTTACGGGAATTATGTTGTCTTGCAAAAGAAATGGCTTATGATTTGAATATAAAATTTCAAAGTAGTAATTTTAAAAAAAACCTAATAGTCATATATATATTTTTTTTCATTAATTTTATATTTTCATCTTATAAAGAATATAATGGACATATTACACTTCTTTCTATTTATGCGGGGAATTTATGACGGTGAAATAAATACATGTGATCGCGTGTGAAACTCTAGTTTTTCAGTGATTTATGTTTAATATATTATATATGTATATAAAAATTTATATATAACAGATAATTTATCGGTTTTAGATCCCTGTGAAGAGCAAAAAGAAAGTTTACCTCATAATTTTCAACGAAACGTTATATAAATTTTTATCGGTTGGATAACTCGTAAATGTTCTTTATTGCCTGTCCGAAGCAAATTTCTTTCCGATACTTTTTCGAATTGTTATAAGCAACGGAGACATGTTCTAACATTGGACGACTCACCCTATATGTTCCAATGTTACACAATGAAAAAGTGTATGTTACATAATAAATTTTTGTTTTTTTACTTTTCTTATTTTCCAATGTAGAACTTATATATTCCCAAGAGAATTTTTCAAGCGTTCCTTGAAACATATGTTCCTCATCTCTCGATATCAAAAGAATTAAAAAACTATATAACTTCGTTCGTGATTATAAGTCCTTATTATTATCAAGAATTGTAATCAATATGTAAAACCAAAGTTAAAATGACTTAAGATAAATTCGAAACATAACATGCTATTTACGATTAACAGTTAAATAATTAATATAATAAATAATGTAACTATTAATGTGAACTTTTCCTTACAATTATGTCCTGGAATGTCGCTTCTCCAAAGAACGCGCACAATCTGCCAGTATGCCACGCTCATGAGAAGCAACGGCATTGTATATAAAAAGATCAACTTGACAATCGTGAAGGTGGTTTGACTTTCTTGACTCCATGACCAGATGCACTGCGTGAATAATATAGTCTGCACTCGACTATTCGATGGCACTGTATGCAACACCAGTAACTCTGGAATGTCTGATCAAAACACACATGAGATATTGATAAAATTGTACTTTTGTGCCGCCTACAAGTGAATTTTCTTTCGAAAACCGCTGTGAGAAAAAATTTAATACGAGCAAATGCATTAATTTTATATCACGTGCAAATTCTAAAAATTAAATTTATGATACTTAACAAATATTATATTTAAATAGTTAGAAAGTAATATTAGAATTAAAAAAAAGATAGAAGGATCTACAAACTGAAATCTTTACTATCTTACTATCTTACTTATTAGATTATATAGCATACAATGGCCCAGAATTGTTATAAATACATATCCTCTAAAAGTTCGAATTAATTTTTCTCGAGCGAGAATGTCTGAGCCATAAGTTTCAAATTAAAAATAAAAAGATTTTTGCAAATTAAATATTTACAAAAACACATAAATAATAGAACATTCACTTTTTTATCAATTCTAGAATAATTGTATAGTCAGATTAAAAATGTACTTTTTATTTAATTAACACTCAAGAAGTATCAAGCAGTACCTTTAATCATTTTTATTTTTTTAAATTAATATCTTTTTTATCTTGTAAGTCTGCTAAAAATAGTGACACGTGGTTGGTGATAAAATTGTTTGAATTTATTTCATATATAGAAATTTAGCAATCAAGATCCTTGCCGAGAAATTGGCTATGATTCTCTTGTTTAATATCTTTTTGGATACTAAAAATATGATTTGCAAATTTTTCAGTATTCTATTACAATAATGACTTTCCATCAAAATTGACAAGAAGTTGGAAAATTAAAAAATAATATTTTCAATGCGAGAGAAAAGATATTAATCTAAAAAATAAAAATGGTTTAATACCTCTAATGTTAAGGTACATCGCAAATGTAACGTAAGTAATGTATGAACAAAATATTAGAGAGAATTCAAGATATTAGATTTCTCGATGATATTTATCAACAAATAATTAAAAAAAATATATAGCTTATTAAAAATATTCACGCGTGATAATGCTTACCAAAAAGCAGCGAAACCAGCCAGATGATTATGATGGCGGTTTTCGCTCGGGCTGTCGTGGACTTGAATCTCAATGGGAAGCATATGGCGTACCATCGGTCGATCGATATAAAAGTCAGCGTCAACACGCTTATACTCACCGACACCGTCTAAAATCATAATCATTTATTGAGACAAAATATACCATGCCGTCTATTCTTCAACTTACTGCAATTAATATTTTAAACATCGTTAAAATGTTATTTATGACGAGATTCATCATTTGCAATCAAGGCAAAAAAATACGTGATTAAAAGTAACTTATCGCTGAATAATTATATTTATTAGATTGAATTGATTAAAAATTAATTCTTATTTTTTTCCTCGTTGATTATAAAGATTTCTGCTTTTACTTATCAAAGGATTAATACTGATGAAAGGATTAATATTTAATCCTTTCTTTGCCGAAACGTTTCCAGTCTCATAAATTTCTCATTGTTGTTTTATGTTGCAAATCCCTCATCGCAATATTTATGCGATCTAAAAGATATTTTCGAGATAATTTGCTCGTTTCTGTCGCGTAGCGATACGATATAAATAAAAATACTTATTATTTGTATCATATAATAAGCGAAAATAAAAGAGAGACTAATTAGGGACTATTATGTGTCAATTGATTCCACTTAATGTACATCCGAGAAGATAGAGAAATGAAGAAGATAGAAAATAGAACAGGGAAAGAGTTAATGAGATTCATTAGCAAATTGCAAATAGCAGTGCGCATCTAATTTTCTCGCTTTTGCTCCTTTTTGCTCCTCTTGTCTTTCTGTTCGATGCCACCGATGAGAAATTACCTGTGATTGTCAATTGATTTACGAACGAGATTCTAGGGAAATTCCTAGCTTTGCAATTACTTTGTATTTACGTTTGCGATCTGTAAAACGCAATTGAATATCATTTGAGCGTGAAATATATAGGAGAGAAATAAATAATCGGAGAAATGTCGGACACGCGTAAAATTGAAATAAAGCTTCAAAATAAAGAAAAGTCATGAGTGGAGTGAAATTCAGAAAATATTTAATATTCCCAGACCATGATATATCGATTATTTGTATTGAAAAGAAACTAATTAAATTAATGAACAAAATTAACGATTATTTTTTGCGAACTGAGTGAATTCGAAGCGATTTCAATTAAATTGAAATTAAATTAAATTGAAATAAAAAATCCATATAAATGCCTTCGTTCCTGTTAAATTTGAATTCATATTGTTTGCCATCGAGAATCGTGCATTCTTAAAGTTAAAGTTTAATTTCGCTTGGCTTCGTCACTTCATTTACGATGCAGTTCCTTTGATTTCTTTCAAATATTTCTCTAGAAGTCTATTTATATTCCTTTATTTATACATTTATTTGCTATAATATAAAATAAATTATAAAATAAATGTTATATCTTCAATTAATTAGGCATACTTTCTATACTTTCTTTGGCTCTATACTGTACGTAAAAAGAAGAAAGAATTGATTTAATGAAAGAAAACACTTTTTTATTTACATAAAAACATTATTATTGTAAAAACATTAATATTGTAATATATATTTATGTAACACATATAAAACACGTATAAAATTAAATAAAAATAAATAAAATTTAACATATACTTAGAATAAAGCTAAAAATATCTAGAATTAGAAAGAAGTATAGAAATATCATGGGAGAGAAGGAATAAATGGTAAATTATCAACTTAATGATAAAGCCTTAATATTTTAAAAATATGACGTTGTCTAGCGCGGTTACTAAAAATAAAAATTAATATTACTTATTTTTTTTTTTATTTTTAATGATCCAAGTATCGTCAAGTATTTTGTTACTCTAAAATGTACCGGTTTCTCCCTCCCTTTCGATTAATCGATCGAAATAAATAAATACAGTAAATTATTCATATTTTTTTAATCGTCGTGTGTACATTGTAACGAAGACAAAACGTATTACCTTTTTCTATTTCAGTATTTTACACGAAACAATTTCGCAAATGTTTTCACTGCTGTACGCGTATACGGCAATGCAGCATGTTTTAATTAAATCGCGGCTATCATTTGCCGTTCAACACTCGCAAGTGTTGTATGCGTCACGCTAGCACACGTAATTGTACAATAACAACAATAGTACACGTGACATATAATGCACGTGTGATACCCACTACGAGGCGATCGCGTTTCTTCGCTTCGAAATAATTCATCTATCAAAATCACTCGTAATTTATTCCTGAAGTCTTACCTTCGCTCACTTCAATCTCGAATGAGATAAAATTAGACTTTCAGACTAGAAATTTAAATTACTAATTAAAATTAATTAAGCGAGGCGGTGTAAGCGAGGCAGGTATTGTAAACGAATTTCGCTTGTTCGAAATGAAGAGCGAAAATTTTGCGGAAAATATCATCTTGCCGAATACGGATATCGATTATATATGATTTTAAAATAAATTACAAACGCACAAACCTCGGAGACGCATTCCCGGACTGAATTAAATCGATTTTTCCTAATATCCCACATCAAGATTTTCCACGCAAAAAGAAGTAGGGCGTAGCTTCAGCCGAAGATTTCCCGAGCATACTTGTAGGTGTAATCACGCGACGATTCGCGTGCTTCGCGCGCCATGCATTAGCGAATTACGATGTAATTCTCTCGTCGCAATACGCGGCCTCCCGGAAATATGCGCCCTCCTAGCCTAGTCGAAGGAAATGTCGAAAGCACCTCTCCCTAAAAAATTCATCGCGGTCGATCGCATTGCCGGGATAGACACATATTGCCCGTAAAATATCACCCGCAGCATATCTGTGGACGCTCGAGAAATGAGCCGTCCGCATCTTCTTGATATAGCACATGCGCCGCAGTACGAGTTTATATGTTAACCGTGCCATATTTTTCTCTTTCCCTTCCTTTCTTTTTTGTATTTTTTCTTTCTTCCTCCCCCCCTCCCTCTCTCTCTCTCTCTCTCTCTCTTTCCCCTCTCCCCTCCTCTCCCCCTCCTCTCGTTTTTTTAACCGCGATCTAGTATCGGCGATTCGTTTACGTACGCGTCATCGTTCGTGATGGCACGAACTTCGATTCGTCTACAATTTATATTAAATGCCGCGAAAGAAGAATGAGAGACATCCACGAGCGTGGCATACGTATACGGGTCGATGCGTACGCGATGCCGCGACTGGCGAAATTATGCGCATGGAAAATGAGGACGCGTCGATCACGCTCGGCTGATAACCATCGATCCGTAGGATACTATGATCCACCTCAACATCGCGATGTTTGTTTAAACTCTACTGGGAGCAAGTTTGCGGATTACTGCGGAGCGATTGTTCGTGAAGAATGTTTCGGAAACACCAGGTTGGGAAAACGGTCTGGCGATGTCGTAAATTTATGAAACAAGTTTCATATATATATTATTCTAGAATAATTTCTGCGGGCAGAATATCTTTATCATATATATCACCATACGCATTTATATAATAAGCTACATTCCATTGTAGAAATTATTGTTGTAGAAATCTCGGAAACACTTTACTAGGATTAGTTTTTTAATTTAATAATAATAAAGGCTAATGAGAATTGGCGCTGTGAACGATGTGGAAATTATATGTTTAATTTTAATTACATTTATTAATAGAAAATTCCCAAAATGAAATTTTTCCAACGTTGACTCTCATTAGCCTTATTATCATACGTTATTATAATATCGAGTATCTTTTTCCGTTAACCTTCCGTTTTTTAATTTAAGAAGACATAACAGGCGCGCGTGCCACTAAGCTTTTCATATTATATATTTTTATATTATTCGTTGATGGTAGCGTGACGTATCGGTCACGATGAAAAATAGAAACTCACTTCATCCTTGTCCTTGTCCTTATCTTTGTCCTTGTTCAAAACGGATTCAAAGTTTCATTCGCTAATCTCGTCGCCTTTTACAAATTGTCATTTGCAGATTGACAGTAACGAAATTAGCGCAGCAAAAGAACCAATTAGCATCGCGGAAAAGCGGCAACAATCCGGCAAACTTCGAGATATGCGAGTAATCGACTTAACATCTCCTTTTTTATAAAGGATTAAATCCAACTTGTTATCCATAATCCGCTCTTTATTATTCAATTTTAAATATATTTATATTATTATTTGTATCATATTTTATATATATATTTTTGAATATATTTGTTTGCAATAATATCGGATGAAACGACTCGACGAATAATAAAATATGCATCAAACGCAACGACGCATCGTCTCCGTTCGATCAACTTGTCTTTATCAATCTCATTATCACGAGTAACACGAAATGTGCGACGCGAGTTTGAAGTGTGTTTAAATTACGAAATTGGATTAATATAACCACTCTAAGCGAACATGAACGAACGTACTCCGTACGGCAATTTCCTGCTCTCGTTTGAGTTCATCCGCTTTGCATTAGGCGATATAACGTCAGAATTTGATGTATTCACATTGTTGATGGCTAAATCATTCACAGTTTGCAATTTTAAATCCATTCACGCGTAACATACAGAAACTTGTGCGAGCTATTGCAAATTTCTTCAGAATTATTTTATTTTAATATTATAAAAAAAGTTACGAAAAATTGAAAGAACAATAGATTTACTCGAGTTAAACGGAAACTGTGAAATCAGAAATTCTTAACTTGCAAACAATTTTTGTATTTTACGATATTTATTTCATTCTTGCTGTGAAAAGTACAAATACATGTATGGAGTAAAAATATACGGTAAAAATATAAGGTATCTTATTTTAACTTTTACATCCGAAAATATGAAGAATATGGAAAAAACGAATGTTTCAAACGAAAATTATAAACAATACATTGATGTAAGCCGAGTGTTAATAAACAATAGAATCATAGCCAAATGATTTCATTTTAAAAAATAACGACTATAAAAACATCTTGACAATCCATCTGTAAATAAATCAATATCATAATCGTGTGATCTCAAAACCTTGTTTTTCCATATCTTCCATATTTTCTTTAAGATATTTCGATATGAAAGTTAAAATGGGATATCCTCTATATAAAAACGTATATGTACGCATATTTCTTTTAATATCATGAAAAGACGCTCAAGGGAGAAATCATACAATTTGAAAATAATGAGAATAATGCTTGTAATC